CACCAAGACATACTGTAATTAAACTGGAAAAATATAGTGATAAAGAAAAAATCTTAAAAGCAGCAAAACAAAAGAAGCCCTTAAGGGAAGACCCATAAAGCTAGCTAGAGATTTCTCAACAGAAACTTGGCAAGCCAGAGGAGAGTGGCATGATATATTCAACATGCTGTATGGGAAACATCTACAGCAAGAATAATGTATCCAGCAAGGCTATCATTCAGAATAGAAGGAGAGAGAGTTTCCCAAACAAAACTAAAGTAGTTTGTGACCACTAAATCAGCCCTGCAAGAAATACTAAAGGGGACTCTTTCAGCGCAAAGGAGAGACTACAAGTGACAATGACAAGAAAGGATCAGAGAAAAATCTCCAGGAACAATGACAAAACAACTTATAAAATAGCATTAAATACATCTCTCTCAAGAACTACTTTGAATGTGAATGGACTAAATGCTCCAATCAACAGACACAGGGTGTCCGAACGGATTAAAAAACAAGACCCGTTTATATGCTGCCAATAAGAGACTCATTTTAGACCTAAAGACACCTGAGAGATTGAAAGTGAGGGGGTGGAGAAATATTTATCATGCAAATGGATGTTAAAAGAAAGCCAGAGTAGTAATACTTATATTGTACAAACTGGACTTTTTTGTTCCTGTATTGTTTTTATCCTACTTTGGTATCAAGGTAATACTGGCCTCACAGAATGATTCTGAATGTGTTCCCTCTGGTCCATTATTTGTAAGATTTTGATAAAGATGTTCATTAATTATTTTTTTAATGTTTGGTAGAATTCACCAAGGAAACCATGTAGTCTTGGGCTTTTCTGTGTTGTGAGATTTTTGATTCCTAATTCAACATTCACTCTTGTTATTGGCCTAAGAAGATTTCCTATTTCTTAGATTCAAGATTCATGATTCAATCTTGGTAATTTGTACGTTTTTAGGAATTATCTGATTTTACTTTTCTAAGTTATCTGATTTGTTAGTGTATAACTGTTTATAGTAATCTGTTATCACCCTAATGTATTTCTGTGGTTATCTGCTGTGTTGTTTTCTCTTCCATTTCTCATTTTGATTTCTGAGTCATCTCTTTTTTTTCTTAGTTAATGTAGTTAAAGCATTGCCAATTTTGTTTATTTTTTTGGAAAACCTGGTCATTACTTTCAGTGTTATTATTTATTCTGGTCTCTACTTTATTAATTTCTGATTTTTCTTTGTTATTTCCTTCCCCTCTAAACTTCAGCTTAAATTTCTTCTTTTTCTAGTTCCTTGTGGTGTAATGTTGTTTATTTGAACATTTTTCTTGATACAAGCATTTATAGCATAAATTTCTCTGTAAAATCCACTTTTGCTGTATCCCATAGGTTTTGAGACATATTTTGATTTGCTGTTTGATTTCTTATTTGGTGCCTTGCTTGTGCAGTACTATGTTGTTTAATATTTACATATTAAATATTTAATATTTACATTGAAAAAAATGAGAAAAAAAGAAACAACACAACATACCAGACCTGTGGGACAATATCATATAGTCTACTGTATGTGTAATTTGAATCCTAAGAGGAAAAGAGAGATAAACGGGACAGGAAAAAAAATGAAGAGATAGTGGTAAAGAATTTTTCAAAATTAATGGAACACATCAAACCATAGTTGCAAAACGCTCAGAGAATGGCAAGGATTTTTTTTAAAATTTTAACCTAGATATACTATATTCGAACTGCTACAAAACAAAGAGAAAAGAGAAAATCTTATAGACAGTCAATAGGAAAAAATAAGATATCTGTATATAGAACAAAGATGAGGCTAACAGACTCCTCAGCAATTGTGCAAGCCCAACAACAGTGGAGTGACATCTTTAAAGTGCTAAAATTAAAAAAAGAACTGATGGCTCTAAATTCTACACACAGTAAAACTCTGTTTGAAAAATAAAGGAAAAATGCTTTTTCAGAAAAAGACTGGGGAAATTCAATAGATCAACACTACAAAAAAATGTTAAAGTTCTTGAGGCAAAAGGAATAGGATATCAAACAGTAATGTGGATCTCAACAAAGAAATGAAGATTGGGGCACCTGGGTGGCACAGTCATTAAGCATCTGCCTTCGGCTCAGGTCATGATCTCAGGGTCCTGGGATCGAACCCCACATTGGGCTCCCTGCTCTGCGGGAAGCCTGCTTCTCCCTCTCCCACTCCCCTTGCTTGTGTTCCCTCTCTCGCTGTCTCTCTCTCTGTCAAATAAATAAATAAAATCTTAAAAAAAAAAAGAAATGAAGATTCAAGGAAGCCCTTAAAATGTACATAAATATAAAGAACATTTTACTTCTATTTAATAGCTCTTAAAATAAATTGACGGCCTAATCAAAAATAAGAACAATATATTGAGAGTTTATAACATATGTAAAAGTAAAATGTGTAATAACAATAGTACAAAAGATGGAAGGGAAAATTGAAAGCATATCAGTGTAAGATTCTTACATGACACACATTAGTTAATATGTTCTCACTTTTTGGTTGAACTTAAGTACAGATTTCATTTTCACCTGAAATAAATAAGCCTGTTCACACATGTAAGGAGTTGAAAAAAAATTAAATAAAGAAATACCATATGATGCAGTAATTCTACTACTGGGTATTTGCCAAAGAAAACAAAAACACTAATTCAAAAAGATATATGCATCCTTATGTTTACTGCAGCATTATTTTATAATAACCAAGATATAGAAGCAACCCAAGGGTCCACTGATAGATGGGTGGATAAGAAGATGTGGTATATATATATACAATGGTATATTATAACTGCTATATATTTTTTTAAAGCATCCCTCACTTCCCCCCAACTCATACTCAGGAGAGTAGAGACAATGTTGATAAAACTATACATTCCATCTATATTCATCGAGTATTTGGAAATACTCAAATTAATGAGCATTTAGAGAACAAGGAGCAGATGAATAGAAGAGAATTCAACAAGTCTTCATGAGACAGACAGAACACCATGGTCTAATTTACAGGGACCAGACTTAGATGGTGAAAGGCAGAAATGCATCTTCAATTACCTAAATAGATATTCTTTCAAAAGCAAAGATGATTATAGAAGGGTTACTAGGTTGGAGTTCTTAGAAACCATTAACATTTGCAAGAGAAAGAACACACACAAAAAAGAACAGTTGTTGGAAACAAACAAAACAATTAAGGACTATACTTAAGAGTTTGTGAAATTTCCCTCACATCAATTTGATCTCTATTCATTGAGATACAAAATTTAATAAAGTCAGGACTACCAATGTAAGGGAAAAACTTTTTGAAAAAAGATTTGTTTCTCTATTTTAGAGAGACAGACAAAGCGTGTGCGAGTGAGGGGAGGAGCAGATGGACAGGGAGAAGGAGTGGGAGAGAATCTCAAGCAGACTCCCCGCTGAGCACAGAGCCCAGTGTGGAGTGGGGCTCAATCTCACAACTGTGAGATCATGACCTGAGCTGAAATCAAGAGTGGGGGCGGGGAGGGGGGATTGGTTAGCCCGGTGATGGGTATTAAGGAAGGCAAGTACTACATGGAGCACTGGGTGTTATACGAAAACAATGGATCGTGGATCACCACATCAAAAACTAATGATGTACTGTATGGTGACTAATATAACATAATAAAATTTTAAAAGAAAGATTAAAAAAAAAAAAGTCAGATGCTCAACTGACTGAGTCACCCAGGTGCCCCTAAGGGAAAAACTTCTAAAAGGTTAAAAGCACCATGCAAAAACTAGATGCTATTACTCTTTTTAAGTAAAGCAAAAGACCCTATTGAGAATAAAATTGCATTTACCCATGCTTTTTTTTTTTTTTTTTTTTTTAATTTTTTTATTCTTATGTTAATCCCCTTACATTACAACATTAGTTTTAGATGAACATTTACCCATGCTTTTTAAAAGAAGCAAAATGATTGCTTTTCTTTTTGTTCTGGGGCACATAGATTCTTTTCTCATATTCTTTTAAAATGGAAAGGTTTCTAAAAAGAGGTCCCTTTACTCCTCAAGGTTAAGGATTTTGTCTTCTTTATCTCCAGTACCTAGCAGAGTACTTAATACTCAAATGTTTTTTGAGCTGAAGTCAACAAGGGAACAGAAAGGAAGGGAAATATGTTGGCAGAGATCTGGTGACAGTTTGTTCCAGATCTGAAGAATCATATGAAAGAAGCAATTAACAGAAGGAAGGAAATAAACAGCAAGAAGGATTTTATACCATTTGGAAAGAAAAGCTGGCAAGTATGGGAAATTGGGAAGTTTTCTTTGTGTAGGTAAGAGAGAAAAAGCAGAGAGAACTAGATTTTAAAATCATACCAAAAATGCTAGCGGTCCAACTTGGAGACCATTTTCTTAGCTTGGAAGAAAGACAGTAGAAAACTAAAGACAAACCAATACTCTGGTCTATGGGAGACTGAGATGTTGATGTTGGCATTTTCTAGAAGGGGTAAGGTTTACAAAGCTAAGAGTGGAATTCAGGCAAAAGTAGGAATTCTGTCTTTTTGTTGTTAAAACTGAGTTACTGATAAAATATTTAAGGGCCTGGGTCGAAGAAAGCCAATGCAATTAGAGTGAAGAAAAACAATCCAAGTAAGTAATCAGATGGCTATGGAAGCTGTGGAGGTAGATGAATTCTTCCTTAGAGAATATGTAAAAGGAAAAAAAATAGAGAAAACTGTTTCTTATGGGCCACGTATGATTGCAGGGAGATGATGAAGAATTATCTAAAAACAGATTCGGGAAGAGTGGTCCACGGGAAGAGGCATTTTCAAAGAAGAGATATTCAATCTTTTTAAAAGATGAGGCTAAGCCAAATGTGACCTTTCCTTAGGAAGGAATGAACCATTACAAACCTTTGAAATCAAGATGCTCCTGGAAAGGATGAAAGGGTTCTTTAAAGAAAATCAGAAAGAACTGCATCAGGGAAGGCAAACACACCAAATAGCACACTAAACTCTTTCTTGTGTTTTCTTTGAAGGTTGCACATTACCTGTTCAGAAGCTGTTGAAGCTTTTCTCCCTTGCTCTAGATCAACTGCAGCTGCCATAAGTAAACATGTTTTCTGTGCAATCAGAATTACTTGATCAGAAGGACAAAACTGGGACAGCTGATAAGAAATAACCAGAACATCAATGAATACTGCAAATTCTGCCAGGTGAACAGAAACAATCAGAATGAAAATCAGCAACATCCTGTCTGAAAGAAAAAATTCAGCTGGGAAAACACACCTCACCTTAAAAACGATATAGACTATAACCCTGATTTATGGTTTTAATTTTATATTACTTTCCATTGTTTTTAAGAACCTTTCTGGAGATAAAAAGCTTCATTTCTTTGCAATTTTCCTATCTTCCCAGTGATAGGTACTGTCATTTGGCCCTGTATTTCTATCTAGTGATTTATTTCTTGCTTTGTGTTATAATTTCCAAGTGATTTTCCCCCTGGCAAATAGATTTCCCCTTTGTATTGAATGAAGTTGATATTAGCACATATATTGTCATGGTTGAAAGAGACAATGTCAAATCTTGACAGGCATTCTTAGGCATAACCTCATCATTAAACCTTGTCCTCTAACTTTAGGAAAACCTCCCAGCTTTTACTACAATAAACCTCTAGGCCACTTGGGATTCTTACACAGAACCCTACTAGGGCTATCACCAATGTTCAAACTAAAACTAATTTATTTCACCTAATTTAAGTGGCAATTACACCTAAACTTTCAAAGACTATTTCTTAATCTCCCAAGATGTTTAGTGACCATCATCATCACTGTCACTGAATTAACAGCATTTCAAAACACCTTATCTCTCTAGGTCTCAGGTTACTAGTGTATAAAATGAGGGAGATATGCGAGATTATCTCTCTAGTTCTTTCCAGTTCTAAAACTCTTAACATTTAATCTGTCTCAACATATCAGACGGTGTACTCCTAAATGTGTAAGAGAGACATTCTTAGCCCCTCTCTCCTTTTATTCTCTAATTAATATTCTTCCCTTTCTGGCATTTAATCTCTACCTTGGAGACTAATGACTATTTAAAAATGCTTATAATTGCAAAACAAGCTTCCAAATCCTTACATACAGAACCTTCTCTAAGAAAAATTATAAAGTAGGCCCAAGATTCTTAGCATTCTTTTCACCTCCTCATTTCCCCAGATACCTGTTCTATACTCCTACAGATTTATAACCCTTCCTAATGTTTTATTAGTTGGTAACTTACAGTATTCCTCTCCTAAAGAGAGTTGTATTTTAATATAGGATTCTGGGAGACTGAATTCCTTCAAAAGCAAAGAAATAAGTCTCTTATGGTAAGACTTCAGGCTCCCTGATGGTTGGTTGTAATATTTTGGTATGGGGAGAACTGCTTCATATTTGCACATTGTATCCTACAGGGAACAAATGCTCCTTAGGTCATTCCTGTTTAGACATGTATTCTAAAATTTTCTAGATTAAAAGCCAATACCACTTTATATTTAGCCCTTGAAAATAGCCACAGTGGTCATATCTTTGTTGTGGTCCATTCGTGAGATATTTACTAGAAGAGACTTACCTTGTAAGAGAGGATGAAAAACTCTCTCATTGTCACTGGGTCTCTGCCACATTGCACAGCCAAGTTCCAAGCTGAAAGTTATATGAAATAATGTAATTATGAAAATCGGTTTAATCTGGACCATTATAATCTTCACTACCTGCATTTTAATTTATTTATTTTTTATTTATTTTTATTTTTATTTATTTATTTTTTTAATTTTTTTTTCTTAAGATTTTATTTATTTGCGAGAGAGACAATGAGAGACAGAGAACATGAGAGGGAGAAGGGTCAGAGGGAGAAGCAGACTCTCTGCTGAGCAGGGAGCCCAATGTGGGACTCGATCCCGGGACTCCAGGATCATGACCTGAGCCGAAGGCAGTTGCTTAACCAACTGAGCCACCCAGGCGCCCCTATTTATTTATTTTTAAAGATTTTATTTATTTATTTGAGAGAGAGAGAATGAGAGAGAGCACATGAGAAGGGGGAGGGTCAGAGGGAGAAGCAGACTCCCTGCCGAGCAGGGAGCCCGATGCGGGACTCAATCCAGGGACTCCAGGATTATGACCTGAGCCGAAGGCAGTCGCCTAACCAACTGAGCCACCCAGGCGCCCCACTACCTGCATTTTTAATATTAATATACTAATAAGGGGTTTTGCGGGTTAAAAAAGCTAACTTTACATTTTTAGAGAATTTTAAATTCTCTAAATTTAGAGACTTTTATCACTTCCAATCTTCAAATCTTGCCAATAACTAATGGAGGTAGTGCTGAATTTTTTAATAAAAACTGGGGACATACAATACATTCTCAGCTGGAATAAATCCATCTATAAAATAAGGATCACCAAGGAGCTCACCACTGGAATTCATAAAAGTACGTTAAAATTCAGCAGAGGTGGGGAGCTAAGATGGCAGCTTGCCTCATCCCTTGAACACAGCTAAATAACTATCAAATGATTCTGAATACCCAAGAAATTGACCTGAGCACGGGCAGAACAAACTGCACAACCAGAGGGAGAGAAGAGTCCACACTGAGGAAGGTAGGAAGTGCGGAGATGTGGTTTTAGGGAGAAATGGATCATGGGTCCTATGGAGGGGAGGGGGCCCTGGTTGTAGAGAAAGACGAGGGGCAGTGGGGCACACAGGGATATGCACAAGGAGAACACTTCCCCAAAGCCATTGGCTAGGAAAATGAGAGGGGCTGATTTTTTTGTGAGTTTTTCCACCAGTGGGGCTCAAAGACTGGAGTTTTAGAGGTCCACGGGCATGGCTGGCATAGAGCCATGAGGGCACTGCTCTACTCCTGGAGAGAAGGCAGGCAAGCAACCCTGGGGGGCAGACAGGGTGATCTGAAGATTGCCCCTGGCGTGCGCGGGAGAGACTGTTCAGTCTTCTTGGAGCACATCTGGGAGATGCCTCTCCAGGGACGGAAGAGCGAGCCAGCAGGCGCCATTTCTTGCCCCCTCTCCCTCAGCACAGGCACAGACATACCTGCCGAGGGTGGCTAACCAGGGTGCTGGCTGTTTAGCCTGCTCTGCTCCAAATCCCACACCACTGCACTGTGGCGCAGCTGCCCTTCTGGGTCAAACCTTCATCAGCCCCAGCACAGCGAGACCCTCCCCCAGAAGACAAGAGCAGGTCCCTGCCACAGCAGGTCACTAAAGTTTGGAGTTTTAATAGTCAGCAGACTTGGCTAGGATAGAGTCCAAAGTGCTCTGCACTGCTTCAGGCAGGCAAGCAACCTGGAGACAGACAGTGTGAGAAGAGCAATCAGAAAAACGCCTGGTATGTACAAGGGGAAATTATCTGCTCTTCTGGGAGTGCTTCCCTCAGAACAGCAAGCATGGAGACCGCACTCCAGGGAAAATGGAGCTGGCTGGTGCCGTTTCCCTCCCCTGCCCCTCGGCATAAACGAACTTCAGTAAACAGAACAGCATCAACACTGGCTGCCTAACCTGCTAACACCAGGTCTTGCCCCCACTGTGCTCTGCTGGTACCGCCCTACTCTGGCAAGTGTGCCTCAGTCCCAGTGCAGCAGGTCCCTTCCCCAGAAGGCCAGCACACACCTCTGCATGAACCTCAACTACTGACCAAAAAGTTTTGCAAGGCTTCTTCAGTTCTAATGGAAGTGGCATCGGGTCTCATTTAACAAGCAGACCAGAGCCTGCCTATTTAAAACTCCCTACACTCTGGCAAAGGTCCAAAAACTGCCCACCGCAGGCAAGGAACGTCTCTGCAGACAAATGACCTAAAGAATAAAGCAGCCAAAACACACCAGCAGAGTGCATGCAGCACACTCAAGAAACACTCCCTGAGTGCCCAGGCCCTGAGCACTAAGTGACCTCGTCCTCATAGAGCCATTACTCTCAGGAGCAGGAAACATAATAGGCACACACAGAAGAAGGCAGAGGCATAGACAAAATGCCAAGATGGAGGAATTCATCTCAAAAGAAAAAACAACAAAAGGTCATGGCCAGACATGTAATCAAGACAGATGTAAGTTACATGCCTGTTGGAGAATTTAAAGCAACAATCATAAGGATACACACTGGGCTTGAGAAGAGCATGGAAGACTGCAGGGAGACCCTTATTGCAGATAAAAGAGTTAAAAAACAATTAGAAATGGAAAATGCAATAACCAAGATTGAAAACCAACTGGATGTAATGACCACCAGGATGGAAGAAGCAAAGCAACAAATAAGTGATAAAGAAGATAGAATAATAGAAAATAATGAAGCTGCACAATAAACAAAGAGTAGTTATGGATCATGAGAATACACTTAAGGAATTCAGTGATTCCATCAAATGTAACACCATTCATATCATAAGAGCCCTAGAAGAAGAAGAGAGGGAAATGGGAGCAGAAAGTTTATTTGAAGAAATAATAATTGAGAACTTCCCTAATCTGGGGAAAGAAACAGACATAAAAATCCAGGAGACACAGAGAACTCCCATCAATATCAACAAAAGCAGACCAACACCAAGACATATTGTAATTAAATTTGCAAAATATGGTGATAAAGAAAAAAATTCTAAAAACAGCAAGACAAAAGAAGTTCTTAACTTACAAGGGAAGACCCATAAGGTTAGCTGCAGATCTCTCCACAGAAACTTGGCAAGCCAGAAGGGAGTGCCATAATATATTCAACATGCAGAATGGGAAAAATCTGCAGCCAAGAATACTGTATCCAGCAAGGCTATCATTCAGAATAGAAGGAGAGATAAAGAGTTTCCCAGACAAACAAAAACTAGAAGAGTTTGTGACCACTAAACCGGCCCTGCAAGTAATATTAAACAGCACTCTTTGAGTGGGAAAGAAAGATAAAAAAATGACAAAAGACTAGAAAGGAACAAGAAAAATCTCCAGTAACAATGACAAAACAAGGGATAAAATGGCACTAAATACGTATCTACCAATAATTACTGTGAATGTAAACGGACTAAATGCTCCAATCAAAAGATATAGGGTGTCAGAATGGATAAGAAAACAAGTCCCATCTATATGCTGCCTACAAGAGACTCATTTTAGACCTAAAGACACCTGCAGATTGAAAGTGAGGGGATGGAGAAACATCTATCACACAAAGGGATATATTTTTTTTAAGATTTTATTTATTTTTTGACAGAGAGAGACACAGTGAGAGAGGGAACACAAGCAGGGGGAGTGGGAGAGGGAGAAGCAGGCTTCCCGTGAAGCAGGGAGCCCGATGCGGGGCTCGATCCCAGGACCCTGGGATCACGACCCAAGCTGAAGGCAGACGCCTAATGACTGAGCTATCCAGGCGCCCCAGGGATATTTTTAAAAAATGGAGTAGGAATATTTATCTCAGACAAACTGGACTTTATTTTTTTTAATTTTATTTATTTGTCAGAGAGAGAGAGAGCAAATGAGCACAAGCAGAGGGAGTGGCAGGCAGAGGGAGAAGTAGGCTTCCTGCTGAGCAAGGAGTCTGATGTGGGTCTTGATCCAGGACCCTGGGGTCATGACCTGAGCCGAAGGCAGACACTTAACCGACTGAGCCACCCAGGAGTCCCCAAACTGGACTTTAAAACAAAGACTAGGGGCACCTGGGTGACTCAGATGGTTGGGCATCTGCCTTCGGCTCAGGTCATGATCTCCAGGTCCTGGCATCAAGCCCCACATTGGGCTCCTGGCTCAGCTGGGAGTCTGTTTCTCCCTCTGCCTCTCCCCCTGCTTGTGCTCTCTCTGTCTCTCTCTCTCTCAAATGAATAAATAAAATCTTTAAAAAATAAAACAAAGATTGTAACAACAGGTACCCAAAGAAGGGTACTATATAATAATAAAGGGGACAAGCCAGCAAGAAGATCTAACAACTGTAAATATTTATGCACCCAACATGGGGGCACCCAAATATATAAAACAATTACTAACAAATATAAAGGAACTCATTGGTAATAGTACAATAATAATAGGAGACTTTAATATCCCCACTTACTGTAGTGGACAGACCATCTAAGCAGAAAATCAACAAGGAAACAATGGCTTTGAATGACATAACAGACCAGATGGACTTAACAGATACATTCAGATCATTTCATCCCAAAGCAGCAGAATACATATTCTTCTTGAGTGCACATGGGACATTCTCCAGAAGAGATCATACTAGGTCAAATCAGGCTCAACAAGTACAAAAAGACTGAGATCATAACATGAATATTTTCTGACCCCAACACTATGAAACTTGAAGAGAACCACAAGAAAAAATTAGGAAAGGCCACAAATACATGGAGGTTAAACAGCATGCTACTAAAGAATGAATGGGTCAACCAGGTAATCAAAGAAGAAATAAAAAAATACATGGAAATAAATGAAAATAAAAACACAATAGTCCAAAACCTTTGGGATGCAACAGAAGTGGTCCTCAGAGGGAAGTATATAGCAATATAAGCCTACCTCAAGAAGAAAAATCTCAAATAAACAACCTAACCTTAAACCTAAACTAGCTAAATAAAGAACAAATGAAGCCTAAAGCCATCAGAAGAAGGGAAATAAGTAAGATTAGAGCAGAAATAAATTATACAGAAACTAAAAAAAACCCCGGTAGAACAGATAAATGAAGGGGTGTCCAGGTGGCACAGTCAGTTGGGCATCCAACTCTTGGTTTTGGCTCAGGTCGTGATCTCAGAACCCCGAGATCAAGCCTTTCATCGTTCCATGAACCCCTCCCCTCTGTTTGCACTCTCTCTCAAATAAATAAACAAATCTTAAAAAAAAAAAGAACAGATCAATGAAACCAGGTATTGGTTCTTGGAAAAAAATAGTAAAATTGATAAACCCCTAGCTAGACTTCTCAAAAAGAAAAGAGAAAGGACCCAAATAAAGAAAATCACAAATGAGAGAGGACAAATAACAACACCACAGAAATACAAACAATTGTAAGAGAATCTTATGAGAAATTATATGCCAACAAACTGGACAACCTAGAAAAACATGGATTAATTCCTAGAAACATATAAACTACCAAAACTGAAACAGGAAGAAATAGAAAATTTAAACAGACTGATAACCAGTAAAGAAACTGAATCAGTAATCAAAAATTTCCCAACAAACAAAAGTCCCAGGCCAGACGGCTTCATAGGGAAATTCTACCAAATATTTATTTATTTATTTATTTATTTATTAAAGATTTTATTTACTTATTTACTTGAGAGAGAGAGAGAAAAACAGCATGAGAGCAGAGAGGGTCAGAGGGAGAAGCAGGCTCCCCACTGAGCCGGGAGCCCGATGCGGGACTCGATCCCAGGACTCTGGGATCATGACCTGAGCCGAAGGCAGTTGCTTAACCAACTGAGCCACCCAGGCGCCCTGTACCAAATATTTAAACAAGAGCTAATACCTATTCTTTCAAACTGTTCCAAAAAACAGAAAAGGAAGGAGAATTTCCAAACTCATTCTGTAAGGCCAGCATTACCCTGATTCCAAAACCAGACAAAGACTCTACTAAAAAAGAGTACTACAGGCCACTATCTCTGATGAACATGGAGAGGTTCATCAGAAAGTTAAAAATAGACCTGTCCTATGATCCAGCAATTGCACTACTAGGTATTTACCTGAAGAATACAAAAATACTGATTCAAAGGGATATATGCACCCTGATATTTTTATAGCAGCCTTATCTACAATAGCCAAATTATGTAAAGAGCCCAAATGTCCAACAACTGATTAATGGATAAAGATGTGATGTGTATGTGTGTGTGTGTATAATGGATTATTACTCAGCCATAAAAAGAATGAAATCTTGCCATTTGCAATGATGTGGATGGAGCTAGAGAGTATTATGCTAAGTGAAATAAGTCAGTCAGAGAAAGACAAAATACCAAATGATTTCCCTCATATGTGGAATTTAAGAAACAAAACAGAGCAACATAGGGGAAAAAAGACGGGCAAACCAAGAAACAGACTCCAAACTATAGAGCACAAACTGAGGGTTACTGGCGGTGAGGTGGGCAGGGGGATAGGTTAAACGATGATGGGTATTAAGGAGGGAACTTGTGATGAACACTGGTTGTTGTATGTAAATGATGAATCACTAAATTCTACACCTGAAACAAATATTACACTATATCTTAGCTAACTGGAATTTAAATAAAAACTTGAAAAGAAAAAAAGTTCAGCAAAGAACAGGGTACACTAGAATCAAAGGCTGAAGAAAATTGTTGTAAAGATTCACATCTTCCATAGAACACTGGAAGGCCCCATTTGGCAACATTTAACATAATCTTCATGTTGGAAAATTAAAATTAAATTTCAGTGAAAGAAGTATTGGAAAACAACTTCTCAAACTTCCAAAAGATCAAAGTCATTATAAACCTTTCTATAGTTTAAATGGGTGTTATTTTCAATTAGTTGTGTAAGTTTCTGAGAAGCCAGATTGCTGTGTTTATTCCATTTTCTCCTAGATTAGAGTCCCAGTAAACCCCGTAAAGCAGAAAAAGATTCATGAGAACGAGTCCACTTTGTGACACTGCTGCTTAATTGCTCATGATTACTTATCACTGTAATAACTGCCTCCACAATTTTTATACTTGAAATTAGCCAAAAGGCCGAGAAGCAATTGCCTCCACAATTTTTAAAGTGTTTTTACTGAAATTAAGCCTAATAAAGTAAATTACACAACTTATAATTGGTTAGCTTGATGAATTTTCAAAGTGAATATAATGATGTGACCAATCCAGATCAAGAGAGACCTTGATCATTACCAGAAACTCAGAAGCAACCCAAGCATCCCTCTTCAAGTCCAACTCCCTTCAAGGGAAACCACTATCTTCAATTCTAATATCATAAATTAGTTTTGCCTGCTTTTTTTTTTATTACCACATATAAATGGAATCAATGTCTGACTTCTTTTGTTCAACATTATGTTTGTGAGATTCATTCATTTTGCTGCATGTAGTTGACTTTTCATTTTTATTTTTTATGTAATCTCTATGCCCAACATGGGGCTCAAACTCATGACCCGGAGATCAAGAGTTGCATGTTGTACTTATACTAAGCCAGCCAGGTATCCCACAGGTAATTTATTTTTGATAAATCAAATTTAGAGATAAGTTAGGCATTCCAGATCAAATTTAGGAGCATAGCCTTGGGGACCTGCAATTGTAAGTCTTCATTTTATTCTTAGATCCATTTCTAGAGAAAAAGAAAATTAATCTTTATTGAGTACCTACTATGTCCCAGGTTTTTATTTAAAACCTTTACTAGCCCTGTGAAGTATGTATAATTGTTTCCCTTTTATAAATAATGAAACTGAGATTAAGTAAGTTATCCTTGTACCCACTGCTATACATAAAGAGCCAGAATTTGGGGTGCCTGGGTGGCTCAGTCAGCTGAGCGTCCAACTCTTGGTTTCAGCTCAGGTTGTTGTCTCAGGGTCATGAGAACAGGCCCCGCATTGGGGTCTGTGCTCAGAGGGGAGTCTGCTTGTCCCTCTCCCTCTCCTCCTCCCCTTGCTTGCTTGCTCGCTCTCAAATAAATAAATAAAATCTTGAAAAAAAAAAAAGAGCCAGAATGTGAATCCACATATGTCTGATTCTACCACCCACCAGTTTCCCATAGCCACAGAATATCCTTTTACCTATTTTTCGAAACCAATGAGCTTCATTAGCTCTTGAGTCTGGAGTCGAGGCCTCTCCATTGAAAGGCTGAGAGAGTTTCAGGAGTGCTGCATTGAACAGAAAGATTTTATAGTGAGGTCTTTTACTTTATACTCTAGCAAAATTTTTTTTTTTAAAGATTTATTTATTTATTTATTTGAGACAGAGAGAATGAGAGACAGAGAGCACATGAGAGGGGGGAGGGTCAGAGGCAGAAGCAGGCTCCCTGCTGATCAGGGAGCCCGATGTGGGACTCGATCCCGGGACTCCAGGATCATGACCTGAGCTGAAGGCAGTCGCTTAACCAACTGAGCCACCCAGGCGCCCTCTAGCAAAATTTTTAATACTGCCTTAAAAACAGTCAAACATGGGTTTGAAATGAGAAAATTCTTTGTGTGTGTGTGTGCATAGGTACATACCAAAAGTAATTAAAATGACACAAAGCATTACCAAAGCTCCAAGAAGCAGTTATCTCAAACTTTGGGGGAATAAACACATTTTTGGAGAGATTTATAATTTTACTTAATCATTCACCACCTGAGGTAGAAAGATAGGATTTACATGTAAGGAAACAAAAGAGTAGGAACAATCATTAAAAAGACTGAAATGGAGAACTGGAAGAGTATCGACAGGTTGCCATAATACTTACTGAGCTCCCACAGCAAGCATACTGAAGAACCAGAACATGCTGTCATCATCCCAAGACATTTACTACCTACCCACATACCCTTCTGAGAGGTAAGAATACCAAACAGCCAAGTATGAAAGCCTTGGTTTCTAAACCACTTTGCTACACTTAACACCTTAGTGATAGGTAATTGAGGTATAAAACTGAACTCCTGAAATAAAGAAAATAAAGTTTCTAAGATGTTTTGGACATGAGGAAATAGGTACTTGGGTAGTGGAAATAGGAAGAGCTGTTAGGCAAAAGAGACATTGGGTAAGAAAGCACAGGTTTGGAAAAAAGAAATCGATGTGGTTAGGAGGTTAGCTTGAAGTGAAGAGGGAGGAATTAGTGGTAGAAAGGGGAGAGGACATAGGCTTGGGTAGTTTGATAAACAAGTTTCAAAATAACAGAGTAAACAATCTGAATCTGATTCAGAGAGCATGAAAATTAACAGGGTGCACAGCATTTTTATTTGTCTTGATCCTTTTTCACCTGCTCTATTCTTAGGTTAGGATCAAACAGCAATAAGGACAGACAGAAAGAAGGACAGAAGGAAGGAAGGAAATGTCTTTAAAATAAATTGGAATAAAAAGAGAGCTGAAATCACATTTGGAGATGAATGTGAGTGATGATAAACTTTTCTCTGCTTGTGAATAAAGAAACCAAAGTAGACTTCTATGGCAAACATTAATAAAAGCATGAAGCTTAACTCAAACATGAAGTCTGTCTGAGTCGTGTACTTGGAGAATTTAATAGAAGACAGAGGCAAGATGAAGGAGTGAAAATAACCAAGATGATATTTACCTGTATTCAAGCAAGTCAAAAGTCTATCCATTTCTTTCTTTCTAAAAAATAAAGAAAAGAGTGTTTTCCCACTGTTCCAAAGCTTTACTACAGAAAAGTACCAAAATGAGACCCCAAGAGAGCTACACAAAGACAATGCAAAACTGTGAAGTTTATTGTTCGAGGCTCCATCCTATCATTTCAACACTATTTTTCCTCACTATAGGATACTGTTCTTCATTCCCCAGTGCTCTCACATTTTTTCTCTCTTCCCCTTCTACTCCTACTCTCAGCAAAGGATTTATATTACAGGGTCACTGAATTTGAGAGCAGAGAGTAATTTTTGTGATTTTCAAGCTTTTTCTTTTTTGAAGAGAGGAATTAGAACCCTTGTTTCAAATAAACTTTGATGAAAATCTAATATACAAGAAAAGATGTAAGTTTAGCTGTTCTGTTTTAACCAGTGGTGAGAAGAGGCCTAGAGCCTCACCTTCCTGGAAGTCCCTGAGGCTGTGCCACAGAATTTCCAAGGTTCTGAAATATATTTTAAAAAGCACTTATCCAGTCCAGACCCTTCATTTTATAGATGAGGAACCAGATCTGGAAATGGAGGATGATGTGTCTAATGTCATGCAATTAATGACAATTTCAGGACTACAACACAGGTCTCTCTCTTTTTTTTCCCCCACAGTTTTCATAAAGGTCTACAACACAGGTCTCTTGACCCTTTGTCAAATTTCTTTAAGGGGTATATAAATTTTAACAGAGGAAAACATGTCATTTTACTGAACAAAGGAATGAATATGGAAGTACTGGCAAGTTCAACTAAGGAACTTAAGTATACTAGAGTATACTATGAGACTATCCCTATCATGAGGAGCTCTAGTATTATATAATAAAGACTATGCTTCAGGAAAAGTAGCAGCTTTCTCAGAGATAAATAGAAGTCTGGTTTACTTAAAATAACTCCTTAAAGTAAACTTTATTGATTTGAATTTCAGCTGATCTAAAGTTGACTTCCTCACTTATTTAGTTCAGTGACTATAAAATAATCCAGTAAGGGTCCATTAATGCAAATACATAGTATAAATAAGAATGAGGAACTGGAACGGGATGTATATAGTCTATTTAAGAGACAAACTGCTTTAATAGCACGTGAGTTGTTAACTTAGGTAGATACTGCTAAATGAAAACCGTGGGTTTTTTAGAAGAGAAAGGAACTTTAAAGATTACCCAGTCTAGCTTTTTTTGAAGATGAAAAAAATAAAGCTTAGAGAAGTTAAAATAAGTTGTTGTTGTCTAAGGTGAACCGGAGTTAGTGAAATGACTGAAACTGGAACTCAATTCTCGGGCTCTTTCACTGAATTGGGCTTTTTTTTTTTTTTAATAATCTATTTGTTAAATAAGTGCTGTCTGCTCTCTGAAAACACTGCTAGCAGATGTTCTTTATGACTATATTTACTTGAGAACAATAAAAGTCTATTTTTAAACTATTCTGTAATTTAAGTTTATCATTAATTTAAATAGGATTCCTTTCCTTTCCCCATTTCCAAATTGATTTTGATGAGTAAGGTTTGACTATATGTCACAATTACATGGAATATGAAGTACTTTTTAATACCAGTACTAAAGATCTTCTTGTGAAGAACTGATTGATATTCAGCCATTTAAATAAACTGAGTGGCTATTATGTGTCAGATACTGTCCTAGGTTTCAGAGATACAAAGATAAATACAAATAGTCCTAGCCCTCAAAGATCTTATAATCTACTAGCTATGTTTAGTCTCTGAGTTTCTTTTCTTTTTAAAATTTTTTAAATGACTTTTTAAAATTGTGAAAATTGAAGTATAGGTGACACATAATGTAACACTAGTTTCAGGTATACAACACAGTGATTGGACAAGTCTATACATTATGCCATGCTCATCACAAGTGTAGCTGCCATCAGTCACCATACAAGCCTATTCCAATACCATTGTATTTTTAAGCTTTTTATTGTGGAAAATTGCCAAGATGTTTCTATGTTAACAGACAAATGGATCCCCATGTATCCATTACCCAGCTTCAATAATTATTAAACTCATCATCGATCTTATTTCAATCACACCTCCACCCATTCTTTTCCCTCCCCTATTATTTTGAAACCGATTCTAGACATCGTATCATTTCATCCATAAATATTTTAGGATGTGTCTCTAAGAGATAAAGATTCTTTTAAAAAGCAATAACCACACTATCATTATAGGTCTAAAAATTAATGTCTTAATATCATCAAATATTTGGTCATTACTAAAATTTATAATTTTCTCAGTATCTTTTTTAGTTTATTTGCATTCTTTTAATATATTCATAGAGCCTGTAAAGAAGAGGCAAAATTTATGCTTGGGTAAAATTTGTGTCATGAAAAAAGTTAAGTCATCAGTCCAGTATTATCTCAGTCACAGATATTTCCCAAAGAATTTAGCTGAAAAAATGTACTGCCTCCAGGTACAAGTTATATATATAGCAAAAGCAAAATAGAGATACACTATTACAGAGTTTTTATCTAAGTAGAGAATACAGAGATGAGTGATTACTTCTCTGAAAGTTTTCCCTAATCAAGACCCGGAATAGAGTTTTCTCTCAAATCATCAGGAGGTAGTGAATTTTGTGAATGAAAAATTGGTGACCTAATTCTTCCACCAATTGTTAAGTTCTTGATGTCTTATGCCACAGCAACTGTGAGCAGAAAGATATTTGAATACTCCCAGCTGAGCTGATACAGATTCACAATCAATAAGCTGACCACGTTATATGTTTCTGTGGCGAAGTAAGAGACCTGACTATATACATCTCATGTTAAGAAAGGGGGAAACAGATGCAATATCATAGTAAAATCATAGCTAACATTATTGAGGGCTTAGTAAGTGCTTGGCACTCTTCAAAGTGTTTTCATGTATTTACTCTTTGAGTCATCACAGCAACCCCATAAGGTAGGTACTATTCTATTTTCATTTTACAGATGGGGAAATAAAAGCCCAGGTTACACATCTAATAAGTGGCAGAGACAGGATATGAACCCAGGAAGACTGGCGCCAGAGCCTATACTGATCTTACTGTACTGGACATCTCTCAACATAAGGTTTATAGTGAAAGTTACTATAATTATTCTAATGGCAAGTACATCATTTCTGTAAGTACATATGTAAGTAAGTTATTTCAACTTACTTGCTTTCAGATTCTGGCATCTGAGACACTCTTGGGAGCACTAGACGAAACAAACACCTGTATGATAAAGTAATACAAAAAGTGATGCTTAGAAAAAAAACATGTGAAAGAATATTGACCAACTTATTAATCTTGATTACCCTAGGAGGCAAAAGTGAGAACAGAGAGGGTAAGGAGGAGACTAATTTTATTTTACTTATAGATCTTTGTATTGTTTTAAAGATTTTTTTTTTTTTTTTGAGACAGAGAGCATGAGAGACAGAGAGCATGAGAGGGAGGAGGGTCAGAGGGAGAAGCAGACTCCCTGCCGAGCAGGGAGTGTATTGTTTTAATGGTTGTAATGAAAACATGCAAATTTTATAATTTGGGGAGAGTAATTTAAGAAAATAATTTAAAAACAAAAGTGCTGCTTATGACAAATTCTTAAATAGTTCCACTGTTTATATCATTGCTCCAAATCACCCGCTAGAACATCAGGTATGATGTACAGATCTTAATATTTTTCTTTTTTTTTTTTTTTTAAGATTCTACTTATTTATTTGACAGAGAGACACAGTGAGAGAGGGAACACAAGCAGGGGGAGTGGGAGAGAGAGAAGCAGGCTTCCCGCGGAGCAGGGAGCCCGATGCGGGGCTTGATCCCAGGACCCTGGGATCATGACCTGAGCCGAAGGCAGACGCTTAACGACTGAGCCACCCAGGTGCCCCTTAATATTTTTCTTAAGGAACCTGGAGGTGGCCTTTGGGTTCCACATAAATTAGGATGACTGTTCTTTCAAGGGGATCTAACAGCATAATGATGAACTAACAAAATAAGCTAGCTTGTAAAGTTTTAAATGCTAAAAATCTTTTTAAAAATACCATCTATCCTGAGTGATTTTAGATATTTATCTGACTGAAGGCATGCAAGTAACTCAAGACTTCTCTGATACTTACTTCTGTGACTCCATTTCTTTTCAAGTGTAGTTGACCAATAGGAAAACCACTATAGCACCCTTCTGGTTTCCGATTTTTGCCACTGACATATTCTCAGTCACATCATTAGGAGTTATCATGTCCTAACCTCACCCTCTATCTCACTATAAAAGTTCCCCCCCCCTTTTTTTTTTAAAGACTTTATTTATTTGACAGAGAGAGAGACAGCGAGAGAGGGAACACAAGCAGGAGCAGAGGGAGAGGGAGAAGCAGGCTCCCCGCTGAGCAAGGAGCCCAATGTGGGGCTCAGTCCCAGGACCCCGGGATCAAGACCTGAGCCGAAGGCAGATGCTTAACGACTGAGCCACCCAGGCGCCCCTAAAAGTTCCCTTTTGATAAACCATTTTCCTTCATAAAAAGAGAAAAGGGGGAAAAATCAAGTTCAACTGATGTCTTTTTTTTAAAGATGAATTATTTATTTATTTGAGAGAGAGAGAGGGCACAGCAGGGGGAGAGGCAGAGGGAGAGGGAGAAGCAGACTCCCCGCTGAGCAGGGAGCCCAAGGAGGAGCTTGGTCCCAGGACCCTGAGATCGTGACCTGAGCCAAAAGCAGATGCTTAACTCACTGGCACCCCAACTGATATCTTTTTTTTAACTTTAAGCATCTTTATCAAATTTCCAAAGACATTTCCCACAGAAATAGAAAAAAAAATCCTAAAATTCTTTTGGAAACACAAAATACCCTGAATAGCCAAAGCAACCCTGAGAAAGAATAAAGCTGGAGACATCACACCTCCTGGCTTCAAACTATACCACAAAGCTATAGTAATCAAAACAGCATGGTACCACCACAAAAATAGCAACATACACCAAAAGAACAGAGAGTCCAGAAATAAACCCATGTATAAACCATGTATATACCATGTTAACTAATATTTGAGAAGAGAGTCAAGAATATTCAATGGGGGAAAGATAGTCTTTTCAGTAAATGTTGCTGGTAAAACTAGATTATTCACATGCAAAAAAATGAAATTGGGCCACTATCTTTCACTACTCACAAAAATTAACTTGAAATGGATTAAACACTTAAGACCTGAAAACAGTAAACCTCCTAAAAGAAAACACAGGGGAAAAGCTCTTTGACAATGACGTTTTAGATATGAAACCCAAAGCACAAGCAAAAATGAACAAGTGGGACTACATCAAACCACAAAGCTTCTGCACAGCAAAGGAAACAAAATGAAAGGGCAACCTACAGAATAGGAGAAAATATTTGCAAACCATGTATCTGATAAGGGGTTACTATACAAAACAAATAAGGAGCATATACAACTCAAAAAAAAAAAAAACCCAACAAATAATCTGATTTAAAAATGGGCAAAGGACTTGAATAGACATTTTTTCCAAAGAAGACATGCATGTCAACAAATACATGAAAAGATGCTGAACATCACTAATCATCAGGGAAATGCAAATCAAGACTACAATGAAGTATCATCTCACACCTGTTAGAATGGCCAGTATCAAAAAGACAGACAAGTTTTGGTGACGATGTGGAAAAGAGGGAAACCTTCGACATTCTTGGTGGGAACATAAATTGGTGCAGCCACTGGAAAACAGTATGGAGGTTCCTCAAAAATTAAAAACGGAACTACCATATGATCCAGCAATCCCACTTTTGGGTATAGATCGAAAGGAAAGAAAATCACTATCTTGAAAAGGTATCTGAACCTTCATGTTCATTGCAGCATTATTCACAATAGCCAAGACATGGAAACAACTTAAGTGTCCACTGATAGATGAATGGATAAAGAAAATGTGGTATGTACACACACACACAAGAGTATTTTTTAATTAACATTTATTTTATTTTATTAAAGATTTTATTTATTTGACAGAGACACAGTGAGAGAGGGAACACAAGCAGGGGGAATGGGAGAGGGAGAAGCAGGCCTCCCACAGAGCAGGGAGCCCGATGCGGGGCTCGATCCCAGGACCCTGGGATCATGACCTGAGCCGAAGGCAGACACTTAACAACTGAGCCACCCAGGCGCCCCTAACTTATTTATTTTAGAGAGGGGGAGAGAGAGAGAGAGAGAGAGAGCGAGCACGAGTGGGGGGAGGGGCAGAGGAAAAGAGAGAAAGAGAATCTCAAATAGACTCCATGCCCAGCGCAGAGCCTGATGCAGGGCTCGATCTCATGACCCTGAGATCATGACCTGAGCCCAAATCAAGAGTCAGACAGTTAACTGACTGAGTTACCCAGGCACCCCACCCCCACAGGAGTATTATTTTATTTAGTCATATAAAAGAAGGAAATCCTGCCTTTTGTGACAACATGGATGGCCTCTGAGGGCACTGTGCTAAGTGAAAAGACAAAGAAAGACAAATACTGTATTATCTCACTTATGTGCTGAATCTTTTTTTAAAAAAAGTGAAAAACATAGAAACAGTAGAACAGTGTTTGCTAGGAGCTAGGTGTGGAAGAAGTGGGGAAATGTGGTCAAAGGGTACAAACTTCAAATTATAAGATACACAAGTTCTGGGGATCTAATGTAGAGCATGGTGACAATAGTGAACAAGACTGTATTACATATCTGAAAGTCGGGAAGAGACTAAATCTTAGATGTTCTTACCACACACAAAGAAATTGTAATTTTGTGAGGTGATGAATATGTTAACTAATTTTGTTGTGCCAGTCATTTCACAATATATGCATGTTTCAAATTATCGGGTTATACACCTTAAACTTATACAACGTTATCTGTCAATTATATCTCAATAAAGCTTGAAAAAATTTAAAATAACAGTTGGTACAGTAGGCCTGATCACATCACCTCAGCACTATTTTGACAAAGTTTATAGACCAAGAATAACAGGAAATCCTTTCACATCTACAGGACGTGAATTACTTACTTTAAAGCTGTAAGGACTTGTTGCGGGTCTTCTGAATATCGAGCTAAATATTCCAAAGCTTTTCCTGCCACAATTTGCTGTCCATTCTAAAAAGAACAAATATAATATGTTAAATTACATTTCAAAGTGGTACTTACACAAAATGTTACCTATATTCCTGTCCTTTAAGGACAAGAAAAAAAATCTGAACTTGTCATTTTATATTATCAAAAGAGCTAATGCAAGATGATAGAATGAAGAAACAACTCATTGACAAAACCAGAACAGGTTCATATTGGCCCCATAAATCCACTCCTCCCTATCCACAAATACTCACAGACTTGCAAACACTGCCATGAACCCACTAGGACTAATTTTATGGTGATCTTTATCCTTTTTCATTAGCAGTAACCAAAGGAAACCCGACCTTCATTTTTAGCACCCGAATCCCCATAAAGCTCTATAAATCCCTCTTTTCCCATTTCTCCCCAACTCCCCCAATCTTTCCACTTTTGTTCTCTAAAGTCCAGTTCATTATCATCAAAATCTTCTCTATGAGCAACCTCTTCTCTGAAAGTTCCCTCCACATTCTTTCTGTAATGGAAATCTAGGTCCCACCAAGGATACTGCTTCCAAAGAAGCCCTCTCAAGTAGTGGTGATTTTGCTCTCATTTCCCTTCTACCCAGACCTGGAGATGGAGTAGGCGTTGTATTTGCTCTTCATTGCTGTTTTAAATCATTTTCCCTTCCCCCCTCCCCAAATCCCTAGCTTTGAATTTCCTTCATCAGACTATATCAGACTATATCACCCACCATTTCTCTGATCCATTGTGCTGCTCTATCAGCTCTCTGGCCATTTCTTCTCATTTCTTGATGACTTATCTACTGTACAGTTATTTTCTCGAAAAACTACTCCTGTCTTAGTTTTTGGCACTTTCAATATATAGACAGATGATCCTCCTAATATCCTAGTCTCTTATTTCCTTGAATTCTACTCTGCCAATTATTAGCTGTTCACTAGCACAGTCATTGACTGTACCCTCTCATTACTGTTGACTGTCTTCTCATGTGTCTGTTGGCCATCTATAAGTTTTCTTTGGAGAAATGTCTGTTCATGTCTTCTGCCCATTTTTAAACTGGAGTATTTGTTTTTTTGGGTGTTGAAGTTGTGTCGGTTCTTTATATATTTTGGATCCTGCCCCTTTACTGGATATGTCATTTGCAAATATCTTCTTCCATTCAGTACGTTGTCTTTTAGGTTTGTTGATTATCCCCTTCACTGTGGAGAAGCTTTTAATTTTGATGTAGTCACAACAGTTTATTTTTGTTTTGATTTCCCTTGCCTCAGGAGACATATCTAGAAAAATGTTGCTACGGCTGATGTCAGAGAAATTACTGCCTGTGGTCTCTTCTAGGATTTTTATGATTTCAGGTCTCACATTTAGGTCACATTTTGAGTTTATTTTTGTGTATGGTGCAAGAAAGTGGTCCAGTTTCATTCTTTTGCATGTAACTGTCCAGTTTTCCCAGCACCATTTGTTAATGAGACTGTCTTTTTCCCACAGCATATTCTCTCCGCCTTTGTTAAAAGTTAATTGACCATATAATTATAGGTTTATTTCTGGGTTTTCTATTCTGTTCCATCGATCTCTGTGTTGGACTCTGTTGTTACTAATGGTTGCAAACCTTCCATACTCTCAGTCAGGGCTGGGACTAGGGTGAGCTAAGTGATGTAAGTGAGGCTCTTAAGGTGCAAAATTTAAGGAGGCACTCACTCTTACGGTCATGCAAGAACCAACTCTGCACTTGCATGACTCAGAAAGTGGATGCTTCCTTAAGTACCTCACTTCCTCATCTTGGTCCTGCTCTGTTTCATATATTCCACTTTCTGACCACCATCTCCTACCTTTCTATTTTTTTTTTTTAAAGATTTTATTTATTTATTCATGAGAGAGAGAGAGGCAGAGGGAGAAGCAGGCTCCCAAGGAGCAGGGAGCCCGAAGCGGGACTTGATCCCAGGACCCTGGGACCATGACCTGAGCTGAAGGCAGACGCTTAACCATCTGAGCCACCCAGGCGCCCCTCCTACCTTTCTAATTCACTCCCTTCTGTTACTCCAGCAATCCTTCCACTGCACTTAGACCTCCAAACCATTTATGGTACGAATTTTTCACTGTCCCTCATCCCCTTGATGTCCTCCTCCACGACCAGTTTAAATTCCATGGGGATTAATGATAATCAATTCCTCGTTTCTTGATTTTCTTACTCTTCCTCCTTTGCTTCATTGTATTCATCTGGCAAAACCACAAACCTGGTTAAATCCAACTTTCTACTGACTTTTGTGCCTACATCCATTTAGCTGAAAGTGGCTGGATAAAAACCTGTACAACTATTTCTTTTCTTTTCTTTTTTTTAAAGATTTTATTTATGTATTTGAGAGAGAATGAGAGAGAGCACATGAGAGGGGTTAGGGTCAGAGGAAGAAGCAGACTCCCTGCCGAGCAGGGAGCCCGATGCGGGACTCGATCCAGGAACTCCAGGATCATGACCTGAGCCGAAGGCAGTCGCTTAACCAACTGAGCCACCCAGGCGCCCTATTTCTTTTATTTTAAAACGTCATCAAATAGGCCTTAACACTTACTGCGCAAGCATCCCACACTAGCATGTCATTCGCTTTCTTGCTTTCCTGCATGATTAGTTTACACCTTACCCTATCTTCTCAAACTCCCCAACATCTCCTCTCCCATTCTCACTCCAGGTGATGACCTTGTTTCCTACTTTGTTGAAAAAACTTAAGCCATCAGGAAAAAAAACCTTCCAGATTCCCACTACCACATTTATTCATACACCAGGGAACACACCACATACTCTAACTTCTCAACTGCTTTTATAGATGAACTATCCATTTTCTTTCCTAAAGCCAATCCCTGAATTTATACACTTGTGTCCATCACCTCTTGCCTGTTTAAGGACATTGCTCTAACAATTCTCTTTTCTCTCTCACACACATTGTCAACTTTTTGTTCTCTTACTAGGTCATTTCCATCAGCATATAAGCATTCTCATTCATCCCATCTCAAACAAACAAACAAACCTCTGATCCTACTTCTCACACCAACTACTGACCAATTTCTTTTCTTTGTAGCAAACTCCTCTAAAGAGTTCCATGAATTGTCTCTCAAAATGGAAAAGAGGTAAAAAATCTTGGGGATAAATACATAAGAATTACCTCTAAAGCAAACTGGGCAGCTAAACTGAGGAGCATGACAGGTGACTCTTTATCTCTAAGTGTCCCATTCTCCTCTGGATCTTCAAATATTAATAACTTCTCTAATGTAGTAATTGCTCGCAAAGCTGAAAAAGAAGGAAACAATTAAAAAAATGAGATGCTCTTATCAAACAAAATAGCTATATATGGTTAATTATACCACAGTGACTTTAGAACTCATTTTAAGAGCACCAATATCTTTTCTTTATTAAGTTCAATTAGCCAACATATAGTACATCATTAGTTTTTGATGTAGTGTTCAAAGAGCACTAATATCTTTAAAATATTAGTTAATTTACATAAAGTCATCTAAATTGCTAAACTGTCAAGGAGGACTTGAATGTCAGAAAAATGCCCAACTGAGCAATTCACCTCTATGAATTTATCCCATGGATATACTTGCAAAAGTGAACAAAAACATAAAAATATGTTTATCCAGCAATTTTTTTAAAGAGTACAGTATACAACCAACCTAAATTCTATCACTAATGGATGGCCTAATACATTTTGGTACATTCATAAAATGGAATATAAAACAGAATTAAATTTAAAAATGAATGGTGGTATTACATTCCATTATATATCTTAAAGGTAGACTACAATAAGTTAAATGTATGCACTATAGAACTTAAATAACAATTAAAATAACAAAATGAAGAGAGCTAATAGGCCAAAAGATGAGATAAATGTCATCATAAAAAATACTCAATCCACAAGAAAGTAGAAAAAAGAAAAATGGGTGACAATGAACAGATGGGACAAACAGAAGACAAATAAAAAGATGCTAAATTTAAACCTAACCATACCAATAATCATGTTAAATATAAATGGTATAGATGACCCAAGTAAAAGGCAGATAGTCACACTGAATTAAAGAAAGCAACTTTCAACTATATGCTACCTACAAGAAACACACTTTAAATATAATATAAAGACAAAATTAGTTAAAAGAAGACACATGGGATAATATATACTATGATAAAGATAATCAAAAGAAAGCTGGAGTGGCTATATTAATATCAGACAAAATGGATTTCAGAGCAAAGAATATTACATAACAGAAGGTTAATTCATGATGATAAGGGAATTAATTCATTATGAGAATATAACAATCTTAAATGTTCAGCACCTTATAACAAAATTTCAAAACACTTAAAGAACTTAAAGAACTGCAAGGAAAAATTAACAAATTAACGAATCCACAATTATAGTCAAAGATTTCAGTACTTTCTCTTAGTAATTGATAGAACAAGTAGTAAATCAGTAAGGATGCAGTACACTTTACACTATTAATCAACTTGACCTGAATAACATTTACAGAACACTCAAACAAACACCAGTAAAATATACATTTTTCTCAAGTGCACATAGAACGTTTACAAATAAAGACAATATTCTGGGAACAAGCCTTAACATATTAAAAAGGATTCAAGTCATACAAAATTATGATCTTTTTTTTTTTTAAAGATTTTATTTATTTATTTGAGAGAGAGAGAGTGAGAGAGAGAGAGAGCACAAGAGGGGGGAGCGGGAGAGGGAGAAGCAGGCTCCCTGCCGAGCAGGGAGCCCAATGCGGGACTCGATCCCGGGACTCCAGGATCATGACCTGAGCCGAAGGCAGTTGCTTAACCAACTGAGCCACCCAGGCGCCCCAAAATTATGATCTTTGACTATATGATTTCAAGTTTATTACACAGCTAGACTAATTAAGACCGTGTGGAAGTGGTATAAAGACAGATGAATAGATCAATGGAACAGAATGAAGAATCTAGAAAGAGACCCACACACACATATTACAACTGATTTTCAATAAATGCACAAAGGTAATTCAGTTGAAAAAGGATAGGTTTTATTTTTTTTAAAGATTTTATTTATTTGTCAGAGAGAGAGAGCACAAGCAGGGGGAGCAAAAGGCAGAGCTGGCAGAGGGAGAAGCAGACTCCCCGCTGAGCAAGGAGCTCAGTGTGGGACTCGATTCCATGACCCTGGGATCATGACCTGAGCCGAAGGCAGACGCTTAACTGACTGAGCTACCCAGGCGTCCCGAAAAAAAGATAGTTTTTAAATAAATGATGCTGAAAAAATGATGCTGGAATGATTAGATAGCCATGTGCCCAAAAAAATGAACATCAGTTCATACCTTAAATTAAATACAAAAATTGGGCGCCTGAGTGGCTCAGTTGGTTGAGCGACTGCCTTCAGCTCAGGTCATGATCCTCGAGTCCCAGGATCGAGTCCCACATCGGGCTCCCTGCTCGGCAGGGAGTCTGCTTCTCCCTCTGACCCTCCCCTCTCTCATGCTCTCTCTCTCTCAAATAAATAAAATCTTTAAAAAAAAAATTAAATACAAAAATTAATATACAAAATTGATCACAGAACTAACCATACACTTAAACCTATATTTCTTGAAGAAAACACAGGAAAAAATTTTTGTGACCTTAGATTAGGTAAAGATTTCTTACCCATAATACCAAAAGCACACTCCATAAAAGAGGAAAAAAGATAAATTAGACTGTCAAACTTCTCATGAAAGACATAAGAGAATAAAAAGAAAAAATTTATAAAACATATATCCAATAATCTGTATCTAAAATATATAAAGAACTTCCAAAACTCAATAAGAAAACAAAGTTCCCTATATCTTAGTAACTAAAATATATTTCTTTCCTATGTTCTAGCCACTATGATAGAAGATGTATAGAACATATAGAGATGAATAAAAAAAAACAAAGTTCCCTATAAAAAACTGGACAGAAGATTTATACAAACACTGTCAAAGAAGATATATGCATGTCAAATATTACAGAAATACTAGTTAAAACCACAATAAGATACCATTACCCTACTATTAGAATGGGTAAAATATTTTTTAAATGGACAATTCCAAGTGCTGTTTGAGGATGCAGATCACCTGGAACACTCATATACAGCTGGTTAGAATGTAAAATTGTATAGCTACTTAGGAAAACAGGTTGGCAGGTTCTAATAAAGTTAAACATATATTTACCACACAATCCAAAAATCCAACTCCTAGATATTTATCCTAGAGAAGTTAAATCTTATCATCACACAAAATCTGTAAACAGATATTTGTAGCACATTTATTCACAGCTGCTCAAAACAGAAACCATCCAAATATACTTCAACTGGTGAAGGAACAAACAAACTGTGGTACATACATACTATAGACTATTACTCAGCAATAAAAAAGAACAAACTATGGAAACACAACAATATGAATGAGTTTTGAATGCATTATCATAAGTGAAAGAAAGGCTCAAAAAGCTTCATAATGTATGATCCCATTTATATGATACTTTGGAAATGGCAAAAATATAGAGATAGAAATGAGTTCAGTTGTTTCCAGGACTAAAAGTGGTTGGAAGAAATGACAACAAGGGAACCTGAGGTAATTTTTTGTTCTATATCATGACTGTAATGGTGGTTACATGACTGTATACATTTGTTAAAACTCATAGAATTATTAATATAAATAAACCTCACAGAATCATATACTAGTAAGTTTTATTCTATATATTATCAATAAACATGGCTTTAAAAATGGTCACAGATAACTGGGGAAAAAATAAAAAGACTGAGTTGATGCTATGCTTAAAAAGTAAAAAAAATATATATTTTAATAGAATGTTAAAAGGTTTAATAGGAAATCTACTTTTTGCCATTTCTGTTGGTAAAAAGTTTCAAATTTTTTCAATCTTTCAACATAATACATCAAATAAAACAAATTCCCAGGAGTCTCCAACGAAAACATTGATGATGGACATGACTACACTATAAACCCTGATAAAGAACTGACTCCAATTTGCTAATCTTTAATTAATATACAGGAATACTTTACTACCCTGGAACATTTCTTTTTCAAAGAAGAATAAGTTATCATTCTTTTTTTATGGAGTGCAAAGCAGAGTCCATTGCACATAGTAGGTATTCATAAACAGTTGCTCAGTTGGATTAGTATAAATTCTGTTTGGATCCATTAATTTAAACTTCTCAATTTCTCAACTTAAGCCCTTCACAACTGCTCCAACTGCCTCAGGATATTCTCAGCTACACTGAGAGCTGAATGGGAATAATATCACAGCACAGGCGTATCTGAAACCAAGTCAAGATACAGGAGTGTACAGACACATCAACTAGCAAACTATACCTAACTTAATGGAAAGGGCCCAACACTAATGGGATGATGTTCATGTGAGCAATTCCAGCAATTGTCAACTCCATAGAGAGAAACTCCATTTCAAGGCCAAATCTCTTACCAATCACTTCCCAAATAAGTGAAAACATTTCAAAGTAAGTTGGAGACTTTGTCTAAGACAACTCTTTTTTTTTTTTTTTTTTAAGATTTTTAAATTTTTATTTATTTGACAGAGAGAAAGCCAGCGAGAGAGGGAACACAAGCAGGGGGAGTGGGAGAGGGAGAAGCAGGCTTCCCGCTGAGCAGGAAGCCCGATGCGGGGCTAGATCATGACCTGAGCCAAAGGCAGATGCTTAACTGACTGAGCCACCCAGGCGCCCTACCCCACAGCTTTTTTTTTTTTTTTTTGAAGCTTTTTTTTATTTATTTATTTGACAGAGAGATAGAGAGCATAAGTAGGCAGAGAGGCAGGCAGAGGGAGAGGGAGAAGCAGGCTCCCCACTGAGCAGGGAGCCCGATGACCCCACAGCTTTTTAAACTTAACTTTTAACAGGTTCAAATGAAAGAAAATACAAAAAAGTATACAACGACAAGACTTTCTCCCCAATTCCTTAGGCAGCCCCTGTTCTTTTATTCCTATGTAACCGTCATAATTCCTTTTTGTTGCATGGTTGTATCATCTTTACATAGGAAAGCTAGAATATAGAATATATAACTCCACTGTCTTAAAAACAATGTTTTTTTCTTTATGGTAGAAGAAGATTATTATTCTTTATATTAACAGTTAAATATAATTCATAAATAACATTCATACCTCTGCCAGAGTTGCCCTCTAAAACTGCAACCTTGAATACATAAAACTGAGTGAAAATATTTCTAGGATCACGTTGTTCAGCTTCTATCACTGCCTCTTTAGCCTGAAAAGAGAAAATATTGGATCTCTTTTATAAAGGTAATAAGGAAGACCTTATCATATTTTACTAAAATTATTAATATAGTCACAATGGCTGAGGATACTTATCATAAAAAGATGTGAATCTAAGTAAAATCTTTAAAGAACTGTTCTCTTAAAATGCTGAAGAAACAGTGAGTTCTACTTCTAGAAATAGGGTGCATTATATTTGTCAGACCAACTCTCCTACTGAAAACAACGAAAAATGTTAGATAACATTTTTTTTTCAATTCCAAAGCAACTTACAAGATAATAAAATCTAAGGAAAAGTGAGGTTCCAGAGAAACAAGCAGAGAATTAAAGCCACTTTTTTTCTGGTGGGCATTTATAAATCTAGACAAATGTTAGCTGTAGTTTAAATGAATCTCACTAGGTTAGGAAAACAGACATCAAGAGACCCAAGGGACCACACTCTTAGGTTACCAGAACTAAACCGCTCCTACCTGCATCACCAGGGGACTGCAAAGAAAGTTGAGAGGAACACAACAAAATGTGATGGGGAGAACCAATCCCTGAGGTGTGTATTTATGGCACCAAATTACATTAAACAGGAAGCCAAAAGACCTCAAACTGTGAATTTATTTGACGTTGGTCCCAAACATCTGAAGAAACAAAGGTAAATATTCTCTGGGGGAAGTAACCTTCATCCTAGGCTTCAAAATATTTCCAAAAATGATTTTTCAAGAATCAGGAGTAATAAACATAAAAAAAAATCAAGCATACTAAGAAGCAATACACCATAAATGAGAATCAGCAGAAACAACAAATTGCAGAAACAGATTCTCAAAACGTAGATGCCAGAATTATAAAAAACTATCTATAAAACACCTGTTTTCAAAGTTTAAAGAAATAAAAGATCCTCAAAAATATATATAAGTAGGTTGATATACAATAGTACATATTGATATGGTATAGTGGTTATTTGCAGCTGATCTCAATTCTGATTATTGCCCAAGGCATATCAGTTGTTACACATCTTGAATATCAGAGAAGTTTGTAGGAAACAAACTATAAAATATGACCTTGATGATCTGAAAAAGTACTTGAAATGAAAAATACAATAACCCAAATGGAAACATGGTAGATAGGTTCAATAGCAGATGAGAAACATGAGAAGGGAAAATTAGTGAACTGAAAGAGAAGGCAAAATAAATTAGGCAAAGTGCAGTTCAGATATTACAAACATGGACAGTTAAATAAAGATTCTATTATCTTTAAGACGACAAATGAAAGAATTGAAACACTAAGTAATTTCCACATTGATAGAAGGGGGTAACCAGAAATTTTAAAAAACAGAGGATACTCCTTTCAACAAACTGTGTTGAAACAAATGGACATCCATGTGCAAAAAAAATGAATCTGAACACAGACCATAAACCTTCCACAAAATTAACACAAAATGGATCATCAACTTAAATATAAAACTCCCAGCTATAGAACTCTTAGAAAGTAACAAAGGAGAAAACTGAAGTGACCTTTGGTTTGCTAATGACTTTTTATTTTTTATTTATCTTTTAAAGTTTTTATTAGTTAACATACAGTGTAATATTAGGTTCACATGTATAATACAGTGATTCAACACTTCCATACAATACCCAGTGCTCATCATGACAAATACGCTCCTTAATCCCCATCATCTATTTAACCCATCCCCCCTACCCACCTCCCCTCTGGTAACCCTCAGTTTGTTCTCTATAGTTAAGAGTCTGTTTCTTGGTTTGCCTCTCTCTTATTTCCCTGGAAATTTGTTTTCTGTCTTAAATTTCACATATGAGTGAAATCATATGGTATTTGTCTTTCTCTGACTGAATTATTTTGTTTAGCCTAATACTCTCTAGCTCCATCCATGTCATTGCAAATGGCAAGATTTCATTCTTTTTGATAGCTGAGCAATACTCCATTGCATATATAAATATGCATATATATACACCATAACTTCTTTATCCATTCATCAGTCGATGGACATTTGGGCTCTTTCTATAATTTGGTTATTGTAGATAATGCTGCTATAGACATTAGACATTGGTGTGAAGCCATGCAGCCCTGGACTTTTGTTTGTTGGGAGATTTTTGATTATTGATCCAATTTCTTTGCTATTTATGAGTCTATTCAAGTGTTCTGTTTCTTCCTGTTTCAGTTTTGGTAATTTATATGTTTCTTGAAATTTATCTATTTCCTTTAGGTTGGTGATGACTTTTAAAAAACACAACACCAAAAGCACAATCCATGAAAGAAAAAATTGGGAGTTGGACATTATTAAAATTAGAAATGTCTGCTATGTGAAAGATATTGTTAGAGAATGAAAACATAAGCCGCACAGTGAGAGAAAACATTTGTAAAACACGTATCTGATAAAAAATTGATGTACAAAATATACAAAGAATTCAACAATAAGACAAGAAGCTACTCAATTATAAATTGAGGAAAAGACTTGAACAGATACCTCACTAAAGAAGACATACAGATGGCAAATAAGCATATAAAAAGATGCTCAACATTATATTTCATCAAGAGAACGCAAATTAAAATAATACCACTATACAACTATTAAAATGGCTAAAATCTAAAACACTGACAAAACCAAATACTTGTGAGAATGTGGAGAAATAGGAATTCTCATTCATTGCTAGTAAGAAAAATAATAGTAGAGCCATTCTGAAAGACAGTTTCGTAGTTTCTTATAAAACTAAACATACTCTCACAATATGATCTAGCAATTGTCCTTCTTAGTATTTTACCCAAATGAGCTGCAAGCTAATGTCCACACAAAATCCTGCACATTACTTATTATAGAAACTTTACTCATAATTGTGAAAACTTGGAAGTAACCAAAATATCTTTCAATAGGTTATAAAAATATAATAAAATTCAGAATACCCTAATTTTGTAATGATAGTGTGTAAATCACTTTTATCTCTACTATAAAAGTTAAAAACAATAATATTAAAAATAACTATAGCTATAAAAATTTGTTAACAGATGTACAACATAAAAAGATATAAAGTGTGACATGAATAGCATAAATGTGAGGAGAGGAGAAGTGTAGAGTTTCTCTATGCGTTTGAACATAAGTTGTTAACAGCTTAAAATAGACGGTTATATCTAAAAGATGCTTTATGTAAACCACATGGTAACCACAAAGAAAAAACCCATAGTACATACATAAAAGATAAATAAAAAGGAATTAAAGCATACCACTATAAGAATAAATTTTTAAAAAAACAGCAAGAGAGGAAAAAAGAACAAAGGAATTAGAAACTAAGAAAACGAGTAACAAAATGGGAATAGTAGGTCCTTACCTATCAAAATTACTTTAAATATAAATGGAATAAATTCTCCAAAGACACAGAGGGACTAAATGATTTTTAATAAAAATATTCCAACAGTATTATACCTGCTAGAGACTAACTTAGCTATAAGGATACACATAAACTGGAAGGGACTGAAAAAGATATTACATGCAAATGGTAAGGAAAAGAGAGCAGGAGTGGCTATAATTATATCAGATAAAATAGACTTTAGTCAAAATTGGTCACAAAAGGCAAAGAAGGTCACTATATAGTGATAAAGGGGTCAACGCATTAAGAGGATATAACAATTATAAATATATATACACTGAACATTAGAGCAACTAAATATTTAAAACTAATACTAACCGAAAAGATGCTCAACATCACTGATCATCAGGGAAATGCACATGAAAACCACAATGAGATGCCACTTCACACCTGTCAGAATGGTTAATTCAAATACACAAGAAATAACAAGTTTTGACAAAGATGTGGAGAAAAAGGAATCCTCATACAATGTTTGAGGGAATGCAAATTGGTAGAGCCACAGTGGAAATCACTACAGAGCTTCCTCAAATTATAATTAGAATTACCATATGATCCAGTATTTCCATCACTGGGTATTTACCCCCCCAAAAGGGAAAACACTAATTTGAAAATGTTACACTCCTATGTCTACTGCAGCATTGTTTGCGGCGTTACTGCAGCATTATTTACAATGGCCAAGATATGGAAGCAATCCAAGTGTTCATTGATAGATGGATGAAGCAGATGTGGTATATACTTTATGGAAATTACTCAGCCATAAAAAAGAATGAACTCTTGCATTTGCAATAACATGGATGGACCTAGAGGGTCTAGAGGATATAATGTTAAGTGAAATAACTCAGAGAAAGACAAACACCATATGGTTTCACTCATATGTGTAATTTAACACACAAAACAAACAACAAAGAAGGACACAGACATAAAGAGACTTGTAAATACAAAGAGCAAACTGGTGGTTGCCAGAGGAAAGGTGGGTAGGGTGGTTAAGAGTACACTTATCTTGATGAGCATGGAGATATGTATAAAACTGTACACCTAAAACTAATATGACACAGTATGTTAATTATACTTGAATTTAACAATACATAAATAAATAAAGCAAATGTTAACAAACTGAAGGGAGTAAGAGGCAGCAATTATAAACAGTAGGGGACTTCAACACCCCACTTTCAACAATGCATAGATCATCCGGACAGAAAATTAGTAAACAAATAGTAGACCTGCAAAACACTAGAGACCAAATGGACCTTATAAGCATATATAGAATATTCTATCCAACAGCACAAGAATACATATTTCTTTGAAGCACACATGTAACATTCTCCAGGACAGACCATATGTTGGACCCGAAAGCAAGCCTTAACAAATTTAAGAAGACTGAAAAAATATCTTCCAAACACAATGGATAAAAAACTAGAAATAAACGACAGGAGGAAAAACGAAAAACTCACAAATGCATGGAGGCTGAAAAACACATTCCTGAACAACTAATGGGTCAAAGAAGAAAGCAAAAGGGAAATCCAAAAGTATTTTGCAACAAAAGAAAATGGAAACACAGCATATCCAAAACTTACGGGATGCATCAAAAACAATCTTTTCTTTTTAGAAAATTTTTTTAAAAGATTTT